ACCAACAAACTATGTACCCCAAGTACATGTGGAAAAGTCTGGACATCTGCGTGGTTGCCACTTCAGGAAGTTACTGGGGTAAGGCTGCTGGCATCTTACTAAGCAGAAGTCAGAGGTACTATTGAAGACCCCAGAAGAGACAGGAAGACCTCCCTGAAAGGAATTATGTGGCTCAGATGTCAACAGCATTTAGGTGAGAAGCTCTCTTAATGGACTTCCAGAACTTTCAAGGGTTTTTTTTAAAGCTTCTTTGTCTTTTCCAGAACTTTTCAAAGTTTCACCACTACAGGAAAACATATCGGCATTTTCCAAGTTATACATGTAATTTTATTCAAAGTTTAGACAAAACATACACCTGTGAGGATAATGATTCAATCCTTTCTGACCATTCTCCTGAGCTGTCTACACTTCAATCCCAACTTACACACCCAAATTTAACAGGCACACCAAAAATCACACTGAATGTCAAATACAAAATATCTAGGAAATCACAACTCAACACATCAAAGGCAACAAATCAATGACAAGTGACACCAGAACAAGAAGCAAGACAAACCTTCCATGGTGAAGTGAGCTCAGCAGTTACAGGGACCAAACAAAGCACATTAATGAGAAGCAAGGCCTGGCCTCCTGAACCAGGTAGTCTTTGGTTTCCCTGTATTGTTAAAAGATTCCCATACTCTCTGGGTTAAGATAGGACAGCTCGTGAGAAATTGGCTGTAGAGTTCAAATCCTATTAAACTAACCAAAATGGGGCCATCTGCATGTCAATCTGTGTTGTCTCCTTCATTTTATACATCTGAAGTAAATCGCAAAGATTGAAGCATTTAAAGTCCGTAACTGGAAGTTTCTACAACCTTGAAGTGCCCATGCTCATCTTCGCTGTACCATTTCACTTCCGGAAGTGTGCTGAAATGGAAATGCATACTCTCCTTCCTACCTGTACTTCCAGACATAAGTTACTTAACATTATTTCTAACCGGAAGTCTCCCCTTTAGGATGTGCATCCATCTTTTTTTCTTACTACTGATGTATCAGAAAGAGCAGTCAACACGAGTTAATACAAGGTTACCACGTGACAACATTCCACCCATTCATGTTTCACTCCACTGAAAAACACCAAACTTTATAGACTCGTGCTTCTTTGCCCTCGGTTCCATGAAGAATGAGTCAACGGGAACTTTGCAGGTTTTACATCTGTATACTGTAGTTGGTTACGCCTAACAAATGTTATCATTACAGAATACATCTGACAGCTCTCTGAACAAAACATCAGGGTTGAGTCTGGCGAGGATATGAGAACGAAGAGGCCATAAAATCCATTTTTAAAGTATTAAGTACAATCCGAGAGATTTCATATTGAGGCTGTGTCCAAATTAACTGCCTCTCTTGTTATGAAAGAAGAGTAGTCGCACAAGCTAAGCCTTTGTACAACAAGGTACGTAAGCAGAATACAAGCTCTTATCTACTTTTGGATTCTAACAATGGGCTTGCAATATCTTTCTTAGGAGAAAAGGGGAGAGGAAGAAAATTAAGAAAGAAATCACCAAGGTAAAGTGTGGAAAGTAGACCTAGTGAGATTAGAAGGCCAAAGTGAATTAGCTCAAAGCCTACACTCGGAATCACAACATGAGTGACCCGAGGGCTGGAGGCATCAGGAAGTGCGCCCAAGCTGGGGTGCCCAGTCACAACAAAGCACGGAAGGCGCCGCCCGCAGCCCCGCGTTCGGGAGCAGTCCCTAGCCCCCCAGCGCGGCCTGCACCCGGGTCCCGGCTCCTCACCCGCTTCAAGGAGGGAAGCGGAAGTGTGCGACTCGGGGGGCAGGACGGCGCCATGGTGAAAACGGGACAGGAAGGGACCGGGGAAGAGTCGGACCACCAGTCCGCACCAGGCGCCCGTTCTGCTCCTGGGCCTTCAGGTGGGGGACCCGCGTCCGAGGAGCCGGAAGCCGCGGCCCAGGCCGCCCCTGCGCCTCCCCTCCCCCTCCGCCGCCCCCGGGGCCCGGCCGGCGTGCGCCTCACTCAGCACGCCAATCACTTACAACGGCATCGTCTCCGGCGCCGGCACCGCCCAGTCACTTCCCCCCCGCGACCGCCGCCGCCGCTGCCGCCCTGGGCATGATCCACCGAGGCGGGAGGGACGGGGGCCTGCCTCAGCCCTAGGGCCAACCCAGTCCCACACCCGCGCCCCGCCGCTTTAAGCGCTTCTCCTCCTTCCCCTTCGTCCTAACATGGCGCCCGAGCGCTACCACAGCAACGTTCTAGAACGGCTGACGCCGCCACGCACACGGAGCGCGCGCCTGCGTACTCGCCGCCCGGCGCCGCATGGCCTCACGGGAAATGTAGTTCTTAAGGTGGCTCCGCGCTGTCCCCGGTGATCTCACGCTGTCGTGCTGGTGCGTGGGATTGGTGCGGGAGGCTCCGAACGACAGGCATTAGTTCCTTAGCGCCGCGACGCTGTCGTGGCGGATGAGAGTGACACGGCCGGGACAGCAATGAGAAGGGGGCGCGGCCCAAGCAGGCGCCACGTGCGGTGCCACCCAGGCGCGGAGGATGCCTGGAACCGTGGGCTGTTCGTTGCCAGCTGCTGCCTCGCCGCTTCGTGGGAGCATTGCTTACTGCACAGCGTTGCGAGGACTTATATGCGATAGTGCCCAGGGCAGAGCCTGACCCATAAGTGCGGCTGAGGTCCCCTCTCTGACGACGGCTTTCTGTGTCTGTGTTGCCCAGAGATGTGTTTCTGATGCCAAATGAGCAAATATACAGGGCTGGGGATTCTAGACCACGTCAATAATTAGATTAAGTTGGCAGTAACCATTAGGATTTTGGAGAGTATGTTTTTTTTTTTTAATCTTTTTATTGTTTTATTTATTTATTTATTTTTAATAAGGCAGGGTCGCATGTAGCTTGCTGGCTCTCAGGTCCTCCCCCTTCCACCTCCTGAGTGCTGGGATTATAAGTGTGCAGCAACACCACTGGTTTCATGTGACAAATTGGCATATACTTCTACGTGTGGGTAGATCCTTGTCTCCCAGTTTAAGAATTAACGGTGGTGGCTCACACCTTTAATCCCAGCACTCGGGAGGCAGAGGCAGGTGGATTCCCTGTGAGTTCAAGGCCAGCCTGAGTTCTTACACTGAGAAACCCTATCTCAAAACAAACAAAAACAAAAAAGTTAATCCAGTTGGGCAGGTCAAGGTCCTGATTACAGGACCACCCTTAGGAAGGAGGAACTATCCCCTAGTAAGATGGGTTCATCTTAAAATAACTGTACTTTTCCTTCCTAAAGTCTCCATCCCTGGCACACGCCTTGTGAGCCGCATGAGGTTGGGCAGGGTATGCTCACCCTTCTGAACCGTCATTAGAAACGCCCAACTGTTCCTCTTTCTTGTCTCTCTTTTCAGCAAGAGCTTAAGGACGGAGCTTTTGAGGTCCCTGGTACTTAGGGTTTGCTTACTCTTTCCCTAAGGCTCCCTCCCCACCATGTCTGTCTGCCTCCAGTTGGCTGACCTTCATGCAGGCTTATCTCAAATGGCAAGGCTTTTCCTCCCCTTCTTCCGGAGATTTTCTTTTTAAACTCTATCCTTGAGCTTCCATTTGAGCCTTTTCTTAAATTCTCTTATCAATGAGACAAAGAATCCCAAGAAGGTCCCCTAGTGTCCCTGATATCCCATGGTGACTCCCTATAGATATTCACTCAGTTCTTTCCTGCCTTTTCATTCATAATTGGCCAAGAAAACTAACCTGATCCTAGGTGCCATCACTAGGGATGTTACTCAGGTTTTGTTTGTTTTGTTTTGTTTTTGTGGTGGTGAATGCCTTTAATCTTTTTTTTATGTAAAGATATTTTATGTACAACTACAGGAGAAATAATACACAGATAGCCTGAACATAAAAACAGATTGTAATTTAAAAGTCTAGGGTTATTTTAAACAGTAAAATATTTTCTCTGTAGAAAATAGTATAAATGATAACATTTCCCAATAAGCCCTTTTAAGCCAAATGATAGTTGAATAATACATATATTGAAGAAACCTAAGTTGTGTAAGTAAGATTCCTATTCCCTTCACTGTTGGATTTACAGCAGACATTTTTCTATAGGCTAATCCATATTCTAAAAAGAGTTTCGCTGTGTAGCTTTGGAGCCTGTCCTGGAACTCGCTCTGTAGACCAGGCTGGCCTTGAACTCACAGAGATCCGCCTGCCTGTGCCTCCCGAGTGCTGGGATTAAAGGCTTGCAACACCACGGTTTTGTGTTAGGCAAGCACTCTACCATGTGAGCAAGATCTGAAGCTACCCTTAGGATGTGAGCAGTGGTTCTTAGTCCTGCTTTCTGGGTGGGATCTTTCTGCTGTTGCATTCACAGAGATCCACCTGCCTGTACCTCCTGGGATCAAAGGTATGCACCACTACTGCCAGGCAAATTATTTAAATATTTAAAAAGATCTCTCTCATACACTCACATATATGTATTAAAACTAGCCTGCTTAACCAGTAAAAGAAAGCAATTTCTTCCTCAGGATAATACTAGACAAGATTTTACAGGAGTTTTTCTTTTTTTATGGGGAAAAACATAGTTTGTGCCTATACTTAAGAATTAATTTGTGGCTGGTCGATGGTGGTGCCTGCCTTTAATCCCAGCACTTGGGAGGCAGAGCCAGGCAGATCTCTGTGAGTTCCAGGCTAGCCTGCTCTACAGAGCGAGTTCCAGGACAGGCTCCAAAACTACACAGAGAAACCCTATCTCGAAAAACAAACAAAAACCCATTAATCCCTGGGCTATGCATGTATGTCTTATCTGTTTAATTTTTTCTTTTTCTTTCTTTCTTTCTTTTTTTTTTTTTGGTTTTTTTTCTGTGTAGCTTTGGTGCCTTTCCTGGAACTCACTCTGTAACCCACTGCCTGGCCTTTAATTTTCAAACATTGTTTCAATAAAGCAGTGGTCACTCGTTCTAATATAGCTTTTTAATGATTCTACTTTATTAAGATTCCCCCTCACCCACGCACCCCCCCAAAAAAAAACCCTAGAAAAGCATTTTCAAAAGCAGTTTTTCAAATTGCAAGTTTAACTTGAGCTCTCCCTGTGAAGCTCCACGATCCACCATTGATGAATCTTTACTGCATTTCAGGATTGTTCCTGAAGAGATATTCTGCCTACAATAGAGAGAAAACAATTGATTTTTCATGTTTGAAGTCTTGGTGTGGAGGTGGGGGAGGCATGTGTGTGTGTACACCAATATACAGTTGTGCGTGTGGCAATCGGAACACAACCTCAGGTGTCAGTTCTCACCTTCCACACCTTTGCCCCAGACAGGCCCTCTGTTGTTGGCTACTGTGTACATCAAGTTAACTGGACTGTGAGTTTCTGGGGACTCTTCTGCCCCTGCCTCCCATCTCACCATAGGAGTATTGGGATTAAAAAGACAGGCCATAGCACCCAGCTTTGTATAGTTTCTGGGCTTTTGAACTCAAGTCCCCACACTTTGAGTAGCAAGTACTCCACCCATTAAGCATCTCCCCAGCCAAAAGTTAGCAATTTACAAAGCATTTATTGCCATGAATTTGTGCTAGCAGTGTTTAAGAGTTTGAGAGTGCATAAATTCTTTCCTTCCAAATAAACGATTAAAGAACTTCTACAACATTAGGCAAAAGAGCATGACCAGAAGAACAGGACGTGAACCCTCACTCCTAGTTGAAAAGCTATTGACAGTTGGTCACTGCTAAAGGAGGGGAGTCAGTTTTCCTTAGGGACAGTCCATGGTGGGTTGCCCATGTCCCTAGGGAAGCACTCATCGGACTCAGTGGGTTATCAAAAGAAACAAACAAACATGACATGGAGTTGGAAGGGAGTGTGGGAGAATGTGGGATCTGGGAAGAGCTGGAGGCTAAGAGGAGAAAGTAGGATCGGAATACATTGTGTATGTATGCAGAGTTCTCAAAGAATACATATATATACAAAAGAATACTCGAAGGAGGAGAGAGAATAAATCTTAACTGTAATCCATGAACGCATTAGAAGCTATTTCCTAAGAAATGAGATGTGCATTTTCTCAAACTCAGTAAGTTTTTTGTTGAATTCCGCCATACTTCAATTTCATATTTTAAAAAATTAAATCTTGAGGCTCGAGAGATGTCTCAGCAGTTAAGAGCACTTGCATATATGCTGGTGATTCATGTATTCTGTGTTAAAAATGCAATTGTTTTGTGGAACTGTTTATGTAAAAATGGAATTATGTACAAAACTGGTTTTGTGTTACAAATGGAACTGTTTAAACAGAAAAGTTTGGGTTTTCTAACTAGGCTTGAGATTTTGCTTAAAAAATTATAAAGAAAAGGGAGAGTTAATATTCCTTAGTCTATTTAATTTAAAAAATATTTTGTTATTTGAGTGGATTAATGTTATGTTTTGTTAGTAAGAAATGCAAATGGGTATACTAAAATTTAAAGTGTAAAGAGTTTTATTATAAAACTTCTTTTGGATGTTTTGCTAAAAGTTTTCAAAGTGTGTTAATGGTTAGATTGAGAATATTGCTTTTCAATATGGGTTTGTAGGAATTGTATAAATTTAGGTTCCTCTAACTAGGTTTGAGATTTTGTTTAAAAAATTATAAAGAAAAAGAGGAGTTATGAGGTTGAATTATGTTTGCAGAAATTATGTTTAACCTATTAATGCACCCTGGTTTTGTGGAGTTAAGGAAATATTTAAGTCTGCTGTGAATACATTGAAGTTTTTCCTATGTTCTGTTAGCAAGAAAATTCAAATGATTAAGAGTTAAAGTTGTAAGACGGAGAAAATTGTTAACTATATATAGCACCATATATGCTAATTCAAAAAAATAAAATAAATAAAAAACAAATAGTAAAATGTAAAAAAAAATTAAATCTTGAGGCTTGAGAGATGTCTCAGCAGTTAAGAGCACTTGCTGCTCTTGCAGAGGACCTGGGTTTGATTCCCAGCACCCACACAGGTGCTCATAACCCCTCCTAAAACTCCAGTTTCAGGGAGTCCAGTGCTCTCTTCTGACCTTGTAGGCACTGCACATACATATCATGTACATAGACACATGCAGGCAAAACAACCATATACATAAAACAGATACAACTTAAAAAAAATGCTTTAAGGAAATCTTACCAGAAAGTCCACGGGGTCTTCAGGTCTCACCTTGCAACATTCATTGAGCCCCTGCATCAGTGTGGGCATCACGTAAGTCATCAGGTAGTTTCTCAGGGGGATGGACTGAGCCTCCAGCAGCTCCCTCTCTTCTCTTTTTACTTCCTCTAGCCGTTTACTCTGGGGACATAGAGCACATGGGCACGGGGAGATGCAGAGTCCGAAAAGCAAGAACATGAGAGCATTCGAAATAATTTATTTTAATTTTTATGTGCTTTGGTGTTTTGCCTATAAGTGTGTCTGTGTGAGGGTGTCAGATCTTGGAATTACAGACAGTTGTTAGCTACCATGTGGGTGCTGGAAATTGAACCACAGTCCTCTGGAAGAGCAGTCAGTGCTCTTAACCACTGAGCCATCTCTCCAACCCCTTATGGGGCATTTTGAAACATATTTGTTTTTGTTCATCCTCTTCTCCAACCCTTCTCCCTCATCCCCCTGCCACTCATGTGCATTTGTGCATGTGTGTTCATGTGCACATGTTTATGTGTGTGTAATTGTGGGGAGGGGAGGTGGAGGGTGGATGTGTTGGCCAGAGGATAGTCTCAGATGTCATCATCAGGAATGCTGTCTACCTACTTTGAAACGGGGACAGGATCTCATTGACCTAGGGTTTATCAATTAGGGTGGATTGACTGACTACCAAGGCCCAGAGACCCTCTCGCCTCTGCCTCCCCAATGCTGGGATTACACAAACATGCTGCTGTGCCCAGTGTTTTGATACAGGGTCTGGGGTAGCAGCAGTGAGGAGACAGAGACACAGCTTTCACACTGCCATCAGGAGCAGGAGGAGTTCCCTTAATAGAAGAGTTATATTTTTATTTTAGTAATGTATATGTGTATGTCTGTATGAGTATATGCCATGTGAGTGCACATACCCAAAGAGACCAGAAGAGGGCACTGGATCTCCTGGAGCTGGAGTTATGGGTGGTTACCAGCTTCCTGTCTGGATCCTAGGACCCAAACCTGAGGTTGCTGGAAGAGCAGCAAGTAATTTTTTTTAATTTATCTTTATTTTATGTGCATTGGTGTAAAGGTGTCCAATCCCCTGGAACTGAAGTTACATACAGTTGTGAGCTGCCATGGGGGTGCTGGGAAATGAATCCAGGGCCTCTAGAAGAACAGCCAGAGCCATCTCTCCACCCCGTAGCAAGTGATCTTAACTGCTTAGCCACCTCTCCCGCCCTAGTCCTTAATCTTTTAGGGACCAGTTTTTGGGGGAGGTTTTATCAAAGATATCAAGAGAGGTCAAACAAGAGAGTTACTGAGAACCAGAGAGTTTGGAAAGAAGGGAATGCCCAAGTGTGGGTATGTGATTCTCAAGGGAATCTGGAGGAGGAAGGCATATCCAAGTATCCTACAGGTTCCTCAAAGGGGAGTCACACAGTGATAGTAGCAATAGCCATAGTCAACATTTCACTAGCTCCTGAATTATATCTCAAAAGGTTGCTAAGAAACATTTTTCTGTTTCTTGTAAGTGAAGCCATGAGAATCTGTTAAGAGGGGTATCAAGGATTCATTAAGACACAAAATGGGGAGAAAATGCACTCAAGGACACAGAACAAAGTAAACAGCCACCATGGTCCTCCTTTCTGCCTGGAGTGAATGGAACCAGCAGTTCCACCTCCAACCACCACCAGAGAGAGAGCGAGAGAGAGCACAAGCTCTCTCCTCAGTTTTAACCAGTCACATACCCAAAGAAACCATGCCTCTATCAAGCCAGATACCCCAAGGCCACTGACAGAGTGAATTCCCACGCGGTGTTTGCGGATCAGTTTGAGAAGTATTGGAGTCTTCCCGATGAGCGGAGTAGGTTGCTGGCAAGATGGCTCTGTAGGTAAGAGTGCTTGTTGCAGAAGCAAGAAGACAGTTCAAATCCCCCAGATTCGACGTAAAAAGTCAGGCATGGGGGCTGGAGAGATGTCTCAGTGGTTAAAAGCACTGACTACTTTCCCAGAGGACCCAGATATGATTCCCAGCACCCACATGGCAGCTTACAACTGTCTGTAACTCCAGCTCCAGGGAAATCAATGCCTTCTTTTGGCCTCTGTGAACACCAGTCACACACATGGTACATAGACATACAGGCAGGCAAAATACCCATACACATAAGATAAAAATAACTCTTAAAAAAATGTTTTTTAAAGCCAGGCACAGATGCATGTGTACTGTAACCCTAGAGCTAGGAATGAGTGGGTACAGAGACAAGAGAGGCACTGGGGTTGGTTGGCTACCAGCCTAACTTCAGGTTCAGAGAGAGACCTCCTCTCAAGGGAATAAAATGGAGAGTGATAAGCAGGACACCTAACGAACACCTTTGGTCTCTGCATGCACACAAACACACACTTACACAGATATACACATGTATACAGACACATATATACACACACAGACACACACATACAGATACACACACACACATGCAGGCGCACACACACACACACACGCACATGCAGGCACACACACACACACACACACACACACACTTGCGGGCAAAGATTCAGTAGGCTTCAGCAATGAATCCATGTGGTCCTGACCTCTTCCTGTGGGAGATTTTTAGTTACTGCTTCAATACCACTAGTTGTCGGACTTTTTAAATTATTTATAGCTTCTGGATTTAATTTTGGTAGGTCAATTTTGGTAAGTCATATGAGTTTAGAAATTTATCCATTTATTCTAGGGTTTCCAGATGTTCAGAATATATATTTTCAAAATAGTCCCTCATGTGTGTCCAGATTATACTGAAGTCTGTGGCTGCAGCTCCCTTTTTTTTTTTTTTTTTTTTTTTTTTTTTTTTTTTTTTTTTTTTTTTGGTTTTTCGAGACAGGGTTTCTCTGTGTAGCTTTGCGCCTTTCCTGGAACTCACTTGGTAGTCCAGGCTGGCCTCGAACTCACAGAGATCCGCCTGGCTCTGCCTCCCGAGTGGTGGAATTAAAGGCGTGCGCCACCACCGCCCGGCTGCAGCTCCCTTTTTTATCTCTAATGTTATTAATTTGGTTCATTATCCCTTTCTCTTTGTTGAAGGGTTTGTTAATCTTGATCTTTTCAAAGGACCAGCTTTGTAGTCCTATCTGTTGATGCTGTTCTTTCACTATTTTATCCATTTCAACCTCGATCTTTATTTCTTGCCATCTGCAGGGGTTGGTTTGGCTCCTTGTTTCTATAGCGCGCTGAGGTCCGTCATTAGGCTATTTACCTGTGGCCTTTGTTTGTTTATTGACATATGGTCTCACTGTGCAACCCCAGCTGGCCTGGAACTCACTGTGTAAACCAGGATGGCCTTGAATTTATAGAAATCTGTTCTTCTGAGTGCTGGGATTAAAGGTAAGTGCCATCATGCCTGGCTGTACAGTGTTTTGGCATTTTGTTTGTCTGTTTTGGGGGTTTTTGTTTTTGTCTTATATGAGCATCTCTAGCTCTAGACCTTCCTCTAGCCCAGAGGGTCAAGTAGGTTGCACTTTGATTTTCTTTTGACTCAAGGCATTTCTTAGTTCCCTCCCTGATTTCCTCAATGACCTGCTGTTCATTAAGAATTGTGTTGCCGGGCGGTGGTGGCCCGATGGGCGGTGGTGGCACACGCCTTTAATTCCACCACTCGGGAGGCAGAGCCAGGCGGATTTCCGTGAGTTCAAGGCCAGCCTGGGCTACCAAGTGAGTTCCAGGAAAGGCGCAAAGCTACACAGGGAAACCCTGTCTCAAAAAACCAAAAAAAAAAAAAAAAAAGAATTGTGTTGTGCGGTCTCCACATATGTCTGTGGTTTCTGAGGTTTCTCTTCCTTGTGTTTTCTAATCAGAACTCCATTGTAGTTCTGATACAAGGAATTCTTTGAAAATTCTTAACAAATTTGCATTTGTTAAGGCCTGCTGTGTGGCAGGCAATTTTGGAGAAAGTTTTTAGAGAAAGTTTTAGAGACGTGCTACTGAGGACAATGTGTACTCCTTATCTGTTGGATGGAATATTCTGTAAATACATGTTAAATCTGGTTGAGCAGTGATAGAGTTTAGCAGTGATGTTTTCTTGGTGAGTTTTTGTTTGGAAGACTTCTCTAAACATGAGACTGGGGTATTGAAGTCCCTCACTACTGTTGTGTCAGGACCTGTGTGACTTTTTATGCCTTTTCATGTTTATTTTTATAAAGATTTACGATTGTTACATCGTCTTGATGAATTGTTCCTGCTATTATATATAGTGTTCCCTTTCATCGCCTCTGACTAGTTTTAGTCTGAAGTCTGCTTTATGAGATATAAGAATCACGGTGTTAGCTGGGTGGCGGCGCACGCCTTTAATCCCAGCACTCGGGAAGCAGAGCCAGGCGGATCTCTGAGTTCAAGGCTAGCCTGGTCTACAGAGCTAGTTCCAGGACAGCCAAGGCTACACAGAGAAACTCTGTCTCAAAAAAAGAAAATCCTAGCCGGGCGGTGGTGGTGCACGCCTTTAATCCCAGCACTCGGGAGGCAGAGCCAGGCGGATCTCTGTGAGTTCGAGGCCAGCCTGGGCTACCAAGTGAGTTCCAGGAAAGGCGCAAAGCTACACAGAGAAACCCTGTCTCAAAAAAAAAAAAGAAAGAAAATCCTGAGAAAACAAAAATGAATCGTTGTGTCAACTTGTTTTATGGCCTTCATTCACTTGCTAGATTAATTTCTACCCTTTGGCCCTGCTTTGTTTTGTTTTTAATTTTTTTTTTCCATTATATTAATTCATCGTGTCTGTGGGGTGGGGGGCGTGCACACCTGCATGGGGCCATGGTGCATTTGTCGAGGTCAGATGGCTACCTGTGTGAGTCACCCTCTGCTACCATGTGGGTCTCAGGATCAAACTCCAATCACCAGGCCTGTCAGCAAGTGCCTTTGACTCACTGAGCCATCCCACCAGCCCCACTCAGATTTGGGGAGCATTTGCTAGCTAAGTGAGTTTCTTGGAGACAGCGGATAACTGGATTTTGTTTTTCACCTCAGCCACTTAGTTCATGTAGTGGGTAGCTGTTCTCGCTTTGACATGGAAGTACTACCCCCAGTGAGGCTTCCTGTAACTGTCACACCTACCTATGACAAGCCCCTGAGGCAGGGCAGAGAAGGGAGCCCTTAAGACCCGAGATCCGGATGTGCTGGCTCTCTTGGTTCCT